ATTATTATTATTATTATTATTATTATTATTATTATTATTACAGTATTATTTGCCAAATAGTTTGTAAATTACATATACATTATATATATATACTTAGTATATACCGTATTATATCCGTATTAACAAATATATTGATCACATATTAACTAAAAAATATTTTGAAGAAATATATTTTTAAATTTTCAACATTTTTTGTTTTGTTTAACAATATATAATTCAGTGATTATTATATCCATATTTTATTAGTAGATAACTTAACAAACAAACAAACAATCAATAATAAAAAAATATCTTATGTTTAATAAATTAACTGTAAATTTATTTTTGATGCTAATATTGTTTTTTTTTTATTTTTTTTAAATTGATAAAAGTTTATACTGTTATAAATAAAATAAAAATATTGTATCTTAAAATCAATTTTTTATTAAAAAAAATAGTTTTACTTATAAAAAATTTTTGAAAAATAATAAATTGCTCTTTATTTACAATTTGTGAGTCTATATAAAAATTATATATATATATATAATATATTTTTAATATATATATATATGTATATACAGTAAAAACACATTTTATCTATTTTTAAAAAATTAATAATTTTATCTGATATTTATTTGATACGCTTTTTAAACCAACAACATCAACATCAAAAAAATAAATAAAATAATAATAAAAACTAAATTTAGATAAAATGATATATTTTTTTAATGTGCGTTAATCTCATAAATGAATCCAATTTTCAAGTTGAATGAATTTATTAGTATTATTATTATTATTATCACAAATATATATATATATATAGTATATAATAGTATAATAAAAATATTAGTAAAATAACAAATGGATATAAAAAAAATTTTTTTATAGTTTTTTTCACTTTTCTAGTATTTTATACTCTCTTACTATATATCATTAATATATTACTGTAAAAACATAGATATATATATATACAGTATATATATATATATAATTTATATACAACTTATAAAGTTAATGAAACGAAATAATGGGTAATGTGTTTCTACTTAAATAATAATAATAATAATAATAATAATAATAATAATAATAATAATAAAACTATAAGTAATAAATTAAATTCATTGATTGATTAAACTGTAGCATTTAATAACTATTACTACTATAGTATAAATTATATATAGATAAATAGTTAATTGTCTATGAAATAATAATATCTATTATATATTTTTATTTTAGTTTGTTATCTAATTTTATTTTTTTTAATTATAAAAACTACTATCTCTATAGATTTATATATGTGCTATATTTTAATTTATAAAAACACTAATACATATATTAATACTTGTATGATTAATGATAATAAAATGCAAATTGAAGTTTCTATTTAAATTTACTGATACACACATAGACACACACACACACACACACATACATACATACATAGATAATTACATACAGACATATATATATATATATATATACACATACACACACATACATACACACACACACATACATACATACAACACAAAAACTGCAACAAAAAAAACACCAAATAGTTTGCCATAAATTCAACTAAACTGCTATTTATTTCATCTAATCTTTCAATGAGTTTTCGACTTAATTCTCGTCAATTACAGCTAACTTTCTCTCTCTCTCTCTCTCTCTCTCCCTCTCTCTTTCACTGTCTTAATATAAAAGAAGTTTTTGCCGAAAATTTTCTTAACCCTATATACTGTATATATATATATATATCTAATCATATCATTTGAGATATTGATCTGTTTTTAACACTGATATCCCACTACAACACACACACACAAACTCACAGTGAAAACCAATCGACTTTTGTATAGCTATTTCTTTTGACTTTTTCCTCAATTTTATTACTGTGTTTGGTGTGTGTGTGTGTGTGTGTGTGTGTGTGTATGTATGTGCTGTATGTACAGTATGTATATATGTGTTATGTCTATCATGTTTATGGGTGTTCAACCCATAGCCCAAAAACAATTCATTAACAATTGTATTGAATTAAGTTTCAGAGTAAAGTACAGTACAGTATATATACAGTTAAATAAATATATAGTAACACTCTCTTTACAATATTAATTGACGAGACATTCATTGATTTAGTAGTAGTAGTAGTAATAGTATAACAACAATAGCAGCACTGGTAGTCTAAAGTGTGAGTGTGTGAGTGTGTGTGTGGGTGAGTGGGTGACTGACTGAGTGACTGACTGACTGAAAGCCAATACTAACTTTATTTAAGCCATACATTTGTATTTCTTATTATAATATTTTTTTCCTTTTTATATATATTTATATTTATTTGTTTCTCCCTTTCCTTTATTTTAGATGTCAATCCATATATATATATACCACCACTACTACTACTACTAGTCTACTAGAGAATCGGTACCAAAAATAATTGTACAGTTTGTTTGCGCACATATATATAYATATATATATATATAAATAAGTGATGATAAAATTAAATCGCCGACAACAACACCATCAACAACAACAACAACAACAACAACAACAGCATAGCACCCGCCGTTTAATTAGTAGCTCAATAAATGCTGCGCCGGCTATGATGATGATGACTACACAATCATCATCAGCAGCAGCAGCAGCGGCTCCGGGAGGAGTAGGAGGAGTAGTAGTAGGAGTAGGACCAGTAGTATCAGTAGTAAAGTCGTCGCCGGCTAAGACACCAGTCATAAAGTCAAGCCATCATAAAGTTTTGACGACTACTACTACTACTACTACTACTACACCAAATCGTTTGTCAAAGGGTTAGCAAAAGTTTTTTATTAGTTACTAATTATTTATTTTATTATATTTTTTTGTGAATATTATTGATATATTTATTATCTAAACATTTAAATTTATTATTAGTAATTACTATATATATATAAATATATATAATAGTAGATAACAAATATTTTTTATTTTATTTTCTTATTTATTAATTTTTTTAATTTTTAAAAAAAATATATAAACATCTACTGTATTATTATAGTAGAGTAAAGTTATAAAAAATAAATAAATAGTATAATATATTGTGTGATAATTAATACTTTTTGTTTGTTTGTTTATTTATTTATTATATAAATATAGTGTATATATTTTTTACAATTTATATATTTTATTTTTTAATATTTTGCATAAATATATTTTAACATAAAAAAAATTATAATAACACTTTGAAACTTTTCAATAATAATACAAACTTATTATAAATAAATTTTTATTTTATTTAATAAATTAAATTATAGTTTTATAAATAACTATATCTAATATAGAAATTAATTTATCAATTTTTGTTGTTAACTAAATACATAATATACTAAATATTGAGTGAGCTATAAATAGATAAATTAAATTTTTTTTAATTGATTTTAATAATAATAAAGTTTTATTTAACACTATATTTTCATATAAAATATCTACAAATTTTTTATTATTCTACTAAATAATAAAAAGTATTAAAATTTAGATTAATTTTAAAAATAAAATTATGTATATATTTACCTAAACTATCAAATAATATACTATATTATATACTACAAGTAATATATATAAAAAAAATTATTAATTTATTTTTTGTTTGTTTGTTAAATCATAGGATCGACAACAACCCCAACAACAACAGGAAAGTTACCGAAATTTGCCGACGACTTGGACTCGATGGTGGCCTCAGAAACCGAAAGCAGTATCAACTGTTACGCCTCGTCGTCGGTCAATACGGTTATTACCAAAAGAGTGATACAAACTAAACAACAACACCAACACCAGGGACTGGTAGGACTGGCAGGGGGTGGAGTAGCAATGGGAACAGTATGTGCAGCTGCTGCTGCTGTCGACACTGTTACCATCAGCAATGGTCAGCATCAGCAGCAGCAACAACAACAACACTGTCACGAGTCGCCTATAAAACAACGACATTACCATATGAATGGTGGTGGTAGTGGTGGTGGTGGTGTAGTACAGCCTATTAATACTTCTACTACTACTACTACAACTACTGGTGCCAACAATACATTAAAAAAGTCAGCAAAAAAACATCAGCAAACATCCGCTAGTGATATGATTATCAATGGCTTCACCACTACTACAACTGCTACTACTTGTGATAGTCCTAAACGTGTTGGTGTTGTTGTTGTCAATGATAAGTCAATTAGCAGCCATAAAAAGTCGTCGGACGGCACCGGTAGCCGAAAACAGCAGCAACAACAACAACAACAACAACAGCAAGAGATTTGGGTGGACGGACCGCCACCACCGCCTACTACCAGACAGCATCGTAGTCGACGTAGGCGAGACTCACATCACTCACATCGACACCACTCCCATCATCATCATCATCGGAAACCTGTCAAGTGGTCGCAGGAACTGTGGATCGACGGGCCGAATGCCGAATTTGAGACCCAAACGGGTCGGGAGGTATGGGAACAGCAGCTGTGCTATCACGAAGAAAAACGTCGGCGAGTTATCCAATGGATACAACAACAGCACAGCAAACAACAACAACAACTACAACAACATCATTGGACATCAGTTAACAGTCCAGTGGACAGTAGTGTTAAGACAACAACGACAACTATGCCTAATAATAGTGACTATTGGCGCCTGAATGCAGCCAAACAGCAACAACAACAACAACAGTGTCGCCAAAAGTCGTTGTCGTTGACGATGACGACTACCGATCTGGAAGTGTCGGACGTCAGCTGTCAGACAGATAGGGCTGCGATGGCGGCCAACAACAACAGTGCGTCCAATGTTAATACCGCCGACGGCGGTGGTAGTGATGGTGGTTGTGGTGGTGTTAGAGCTATTGCCGACGACACTAATGATTGTGATATCATTTTTGAGGATCCGCTGCGCATACTAAGTGTTGTCACCGGAGGAATAGGAGGCGATGGCACTGACCTGATCCATATGGATAGGTTAGGTCGGGAAGTGATGAGCGATTGCTGTGATATCGAGTACTGTACTAATAATAATCATAATAATAA